ACAATACTTCAAATTGATATTACTTTAATATTTGAGAACCGATAGAAATAAATCTTGCACTAGATGTTTATAAATTGAATTAAATCTTGCACTAAAAGTTTTTTTTTTTTCATATATCTTCAATATAAAGACATCGGGCAGTTATGTTTTTATTATAGAATAGATGAAATCGGTGAAATGTCGGTGAACGTACATAAAAAATATACATATTCGTCGAACATAGAAAATCCTCCTTCCATTTTGAAGTCGCTTAAATGAAACTGAATATTCCTTAGGATTCTACGACAACTTTTACAAGAAAAATAAACTCTGATGAAGTCGCTAGCAAAAACTTAACTACATTTGAAAACTTCCAAAGCTGTGTAGATAGTTTGCCAAGTATGATTGTTTTAAGACTCATTAGCTTTCATTTAGTAAAGGTAAAACACAAGCCTGCGAAAATCTTGCGAACATAAAGTTGCGAGCTAAAGTTAATAAACCTACAATGGAAATTTAGAGAATAGAATATTTCATAATCTGGATTTCAATACCTATATTTACAGCTAAAAGGTCATTAATTTTCATTAAATTGCTTTAACTTCATTACTTATTGTTAGCAATAAAAAGAAGAAAGCTCATCTACGCCACCTTGCGGTATATCAAAAACATAGGCAAGACCGACCTAGAAAATTAGACAAGCTTTATGTCCACGTAGTTTGGTCAATAAACGATAGAGGGCATAATCTGTGATCAAACTAGTTTTATTCATTCGAATATGCTAGAGGAAGAAGTGGACTGCGTGAGCTGTATTGTCACGACATTTTATTATAAATTGAACATTATTGTTATATAATTTAAATATTGAAATAGAAAGTAACTTCGCCTACTTAAAGAATTTTTCAATATTACTTTTTAGTATGAAATAAAAACAGGGCAAAAAATAGCCAACATATTGAACTATTGTGAGGTTTATAAGTATTCCACAAATAAAACTTTTGAACGGTTAATTGCGTTTATTTTTGAAAAAAATAAACATGACACCAATTAGTATTGTTTGAAGTTATCTATCATAACTTTAAGAAAATTCCTAGTGATGTATTAGATTTCAAAAGTTCAAAAGTGATATTAAAAATTGACCATAAAAAAGGCCATTATACCTACCGTTAAAAATATCTATATGTCAAAAACATTTTTGTTTTTGTATCGGGTACCGCGTCTTGCACACATTGATGAATTTATTAGAACGTTCGTCTTAACTCACTATCCTAATTTGAATAACCAGAGTATGTCATGCTCTCTTAAAATCTCTACGGTAGTGTCGTGTGCGTCAGGTCGTTACATTCCCTAAAACATAGTTGAGCGACGCAATAGCTGGCTCGTGTCATGATCGTGTACGGATGCTGCCAGTGGTATGAGTCTGTTCTGGACTATTTAATGTTATTCAAGTTCTATTATTATACATATCACATATCAGTTTTAGACTGGATAAATGATATTGAATTTGAATGCTTTTGTTTATTAAAATACAGTCAACATTTTAGTCTAAGTGAACACGGAAGCTGTAAAAGACTCGAAAGGTTTGAAAAATGATATATTTTTCAAAAATACATACACACGATAAAGCCGTATAAAAGTTATTTTATTTAATTATGAGCATGATAAAATATTTTACAGTATTTTATCGTGCTTTTAATGCTAAAGTTTAAGTGCTTCTTTCTCATGTTAATTAGGTAAAATTAATTGAAAACTCCAAAATGAACCAAAATCCAAAGAGTATCGAATTATATGGTGACTGGGTCCATATATTAGCACGTCCTAATTGTGTTGATGTACTATGGCCGTACGCAGAACTGACAAACATGGCCGACGGGAAGGTACACGAAACAAATGAGTTTCGTAGCCAATTAGGAGAACAACCATAATTTTGTGAAATATTGCTTTTCTCACGGTTACTTACAATGCGAAACCATTCTGAATGACTTATGGAAAATAGAATTGTATTGTTTTTGATAACTAGTAGCGTCATACTTTATTTGGGGAAAATATAACAGACTAAAAATGATAAGAGTAGAGGAATAAATAAAATAAAATATTATATTTGATAAAAAATATTTAATTTTCATGTATGCCTATTGGAAGGACATTGAACCGCTCTACACTTTTAGACTTCCGTAATAATAGTTTAGTATTTTTATCTTTTTTTGATAAAAAAAATATTTAATTTTCGTGTAGGCCTTTTGGAAGGACATTAAATCGCTGTACACTTTTAGACTTCCGTAATAATAGTATAGTATTTTTATCTGTTTCAAGACGTTATATAGTTGCTATTGGTACTAAAAGATTATCATCGAAAAATCTCTCGTTAAATATAACTTTCTGAAATAAAATGTCATAAATCTAATTGAATAGGGACGACGGGCCCATAAGACTCATCAAGCGGGCTCATTGCTGATTGGTGAATTGACAGACATGCAATCCGAAGAACGGAGGAACTCGAGGTATAACATTATTGATCACCCATTTTATAGCCCATGAAAAAGTTGCATAATGTCCAATGTTATCGAACTCTTTAAGGATTTATGAATTACAAGTAATAAATGAAAAAATTATTTGGCAAAACACATCATCTGTCTTTGTCTATATATTTGTCTTTTGTCATCATCTGTCTATGTCTATAACCAGTATTAAAAAAAATAATCTTGAATCATCATCATCATCATCAGCCCTTTTACGTCCCCACGGCAGGGGCTCAGGCCTTCCTTATGGATGGTTAAGGAGGATGGGCCATGACCCTCCACGCTGACCCAATGCGGATTGGAAGGTATTAACGACTGCAAATGCAACCGGGACCAACGGCTTAACGTGCCTTCCGAAGCACGAAGTAGCTCGAGATAATAATTTTTTGGTCACCCATCCTGTGACCGACCCTTGCGAAAGTTGCTTAACAACAATGATCGCGGGCCGCGGCGCTTATTCTTTACGCCACCGAGCTACACTATCTTGAATAAGTGAAAATAAAATTTCAAATATTAATTGACAACATTAAAAAAATATTTGAAATACGATAATTGTTATCTTAATCTAATAATATCTTGTTGGAGTATCGTTTATCAATATTAATCATCGAAACTGACAGCAATCATGTTTCAATCATTCAGTATCCTAAAATCGTTGTCGGTAAATGGCCGTAGAACATTTTCGTGAGTGCTACGAGTGAAAAATTGTGGATTGTTCATTGAGTGTAATAATCTAAATAAAATTACACTAGTGTTATTTAATAATGGTGAGTACTTTCAGTGAGGTGAGTACTGTGAGTAGCTCGGTGGCGTAGTGGATAAGCGCCGCGGCCCGCGATCGTAGTCGTTAAGCAACTTTCGCAAGGGTCGGTCACGGGATGGGTGACCAAAAAAATTATTATCTCGAGCTACTTCGTGCTTCGGAAGGCACGTTAAGCCGTTGGTCCCGGCTGCATTTGCAGTCGTCAATACCCTCCAATCCGCATTGGGCCAGCGTGGAGGGTCATGGCCCATCCTCCTTAACCATCCATAAGGAAGGCCTGAGCCCCTGCAGTGGGGACGTAAAAGGGCTGGTGATGTGGTGATGAGTACTTTCAACAGATTTAATTTAAACATCCACAAATTTGATAGAATTAATTAGCTGTAGATAAAATATCTTACATCCCTAGTGTGAATTATTTTATCGTTGATTGAGGAGCTCGATGGTTAAGTCTTTTTTTCTTGGCTACATCTGCAATAATTATCACCCACCGATCGGCAGTGGATTTAAGTGTTTGATTATGGCTTGTTTCCCTTTTATTTATTTCTCTTCATATGTAAGACCTAATACACCTGCAAAAAAGGATATTAATATTCTGATAATGATGAATGAATGATATTAAAAGAACACAGCTATTTTGTTTATTTTGTAAATAAAGACATTGATTTCAAATTAAAAATTATAAATGAACAAAATATATTATGAAATATAATTTGAATACAGATATATCGATGAAATTTAAAATTTTGTTTTAGTATTGTTTTTAGAAATCTTAAGATAACAGAGAGTTTCGCGAGGATCGGTCACACGATGGGTGACCAAAAAAAAAATTATCTCAAGCTTCTCCGTGCTTCGGAAAACACGTAAAGTCTTTGGTCCCGGCTGCTTTTGCAGTCGTTAAATACCCTCCAATCCGCATTGGGCCATTGTGGAGGGTCATGGCCCATCCTCCTTAACGATCCATAAGGAAGGCATGAGCTCCTGCAGTGGGGACGTAAAAGGGCTGATGATGATGATGATGAACAGAGACTTAATAAATATCTTAACTGCAAATATAAACATTTATAATAATATCACCAAGGCCAATCACCTTCACTAGATAATGGAATAGTTTTTATATCTTTTGATTTTAGTGATAACTTAAAATCGAATTATAAATCGGTAGCCGCTAGTTTAATCAAATTACTTCATAGTAATCTAAACAATATAGCATGACTTAATAAACCATTGTATTTGCTTAATAACAAACCGTATTATTTTATGTAACAAAATACTAAATGATATTTTCTTACGAGAATACAAGAAGATGTAATATTAGAAGCCATCCATTTGAAGTGACGCAATATTTATTTTTCCATCAGAGGCTTTGCCCGTATGGATTACATGATTTTCTGTCATACAAACTTTCAAACCCTAACAAGTTTCTATCCTCCTCAAACGCTTCTCGAAAAATGTATATCTGCTCTTAGACTATATGGGAAGTTTATATTCTTCACACCACGCTGAGCAGGCGAGTTACTGAGTGCAGGGTTGAGTCTAGAACCGACGACACTGCTGCCAGCCATTTAACACAACTTCTGTACGATTATATTTCCATCAGCTTAGTTTGCAGAACCCTATTCATTAAAACGTTGAGTGCAAGTGCAGAAATGGTTAGAATTTTGACTTTTACCAATAGATTTATTCCCTATGTTTTGTCGCGCTCTGTGGGAAGTCTGCATCCAAAAGTAGACTACTAAGTGCTGATATAATAAAATATGGATAATTTAGAATGAAATACTTTGAAATCACAAACAAAACTACATCTTAAATCGTTTCAGCTCAAAAAGTAATAACGACTTTTCTTGCCCCACCAACATGCATCGCAACAAAAATCGCAAAAAAAAAACGCATTTGCATGAAGCATTACCTGTCACCTAGTAAGTGACAGGAATGTATGGGACACTCCTCCGTGAACCCACCCATTGCTTTGCCACCAAGAATATAGCCATTTAAAATAAGTCCCACATTAGTTTTCACATGAGTGATTGACCATTGTGAACTTCGATTTCATTTTCTAATTACCCCGCTTATATTGTTTATAGGACGACCGCTTTTCTCGGACTCAAGGTTCCGTCGTTCTCCAAGTCGGGGCCTTGGAGCTTCTCGCTAGGTACTCCATGAATACAAACAGAATGACCAGCGTGTTATCATCTCTACATGAATTCAGAGCTGCTGAAGCAGAACAGACCGGTGGAAAACAATGGAATTGGAAATACTTGAGGGTAAGCAATTAATTGTTGTTTCAGAATTTTGTGTGATTACCACAAATAGTTATTAATAGCGTGAAATTACTTAATAATAAAATTAAAACAATATTTTTGTATTATTAAAAAATATTAATTGAATATAGAAAATTAATGAACAATAATCATTTAATTAACAAACATAATAAGTCGAAAATTACCACGCCATTGAATTCGTTATAGGAGTTTTTTGCATAGGTACCTACAGCTTTCGGTTGACTCAGAAACTCCAAAAAAGTATTAGAAAGTTCGGAAATTAAAAACCACAAATTCAGTAAAAGTGTTTATTTTTTTTAATTTATTTATTTAATTTTAATTTTATTTAATTTGATAAAATGCGTTTAATATTCTCTTTCTTCTTCCACTTATTTTCTGATCATGTTTCAGCTAACAGAAAAAATAAACAAACAAAAAACTATATTTTATTATAAAAGACATGAATGACACTACAAAAAAAATTGCCTTTCAGAATTATTGATAACATGAAATACGTGAGATTACTGTTCTTAAACATCATCAAATTCTACTCACTAATAGTAATACAGAGAAAATCATTTGCATCTGAAAAAAAGACAGTAAATAACTGAATTAAATTCCCGCCAAAAAACTAATATTTTTGTTTGTTGCATAAATTCTGCAAATATTATGGTGTATCGTTTGAAATCCGAACAAAATATAAGCAATTTTTTGCCATTTGTAATCATAAAGGGCCTAACATTTGATGCTATTCGATAGTTAGCATTTGATACTATTCATATCTTCTTTTATTTCAATACAGTTTAAAGATTTTATTCTGGCAAAATATCCCTGTAACTGAGCAGGTAATCTATAAATAGTACGTACTTAATATTAATTAAAATAACACATTTCATTTTGAAATTACGTAACGATTAAATAATACCGAAAAAAAATTATTATGTTCTGTATTTGTTTAATATGCCACTGTAATTGATTTTATGTAATTGTATAAAATATTATAATACCTTAGCCATTATTAATTACGTCATATTGATTAGGTGTTTTAACTCCTTTTCGTTAACTTATTATAAGCAACTTAATTTATTACGGTTATCTTGTACTTAATTTTTTTCAGGACCAATTTGAACAAAAAGATTTAGAAGGTTTATATAGAAAATATGATGACACATTAAGGGAAAGTCTCGTATACATTTATATGACTTTATTAGTATTATTTTCAACTGTTCATATCGTATTAGTAATTATCGGGACGTATTCAGAGGTGAGTTATGCTTAATTTGCAAAACATCTCATTAATTTTCGTCTACATGTTAAATTAAATAAATTTGCTACAAAATATATTTTTTCTGTAAATGCACATTGTTTTCTTACTTATTTCAGGAAGTGCAATCACAATCCACCTACCTCTCGATGGGAATGTACGTTTTAAGAATAGCATTGCCCATAATTCTTTTATGGAAATGTTTTTATGATCCTTTAAAAAAGAAATGGTTTTGGATGCCTACATTTGTGACGTTCGTTATAACCATTGACTTGGTTATTACAGGTAAATATTATCTACATCGGCATAATAAATAAAGAAGCATATCTTTTGTTACATTACCAGTTAGATAAATGTATTTGAATTACTTAATAGCTATTATTTTATATTTTTAACAGCTATAACTTTGGACTCTACGATAAATTAATTAAATACTTTTAACACTGGTAAATAATATTTAAAATAATTCGACTCGCTAGCTATGACAGTCTTACAGCCATTCTTCTTGATTTTTATGAATAGAACAAAAAAGAGTTGCAATAAATAATAATAAAAAATTAAATTAAATAAAATAACAACATACACTGTTCAGATCTCAAATTAAGTAGCTAAAGCATTTTTAACGTGGAATCTGAAACAAATGAAGATACTGGGTATTGTACCCTAACCCGAGATAATATAAAATTATTATTTTTTTATATTGACCGGGAACAAGCCTCTGATCTTAGAGATGGCGACACCTTGAATCTAATCTGATCTGAATCTGGCATACGAGCCGTTTGTCCACGGAATCATGAAACTAATTCTCGGGATTTCGGAATTGTTTTAATTTATAGTATCTGCCTTAATAATAATAGTAGATTTGACCCTAAAATTAACCTAAATCTTTCTTTGCCATTACTTATATTGTTTTAAGAAAATATATGTGATGGAACATCCGTTTCAGATATTGCTGTACCGATATTCAGCCATTTTGAAGGTATCGCGTTGCGGCCAGCTTACTCGACCATAGCACTTCTGTCCATTTATATATTCCTCCCGATGAGAAACAACTTCTTGGCTATCTTCCTCGGTGTTCTTGTCAGCTCAATATATATTCTCATATTCGCTTTCTTCAGCTACCATGAGGATCCTCTGATTGGCGTCGTGGTAAGAAAGATCACAAAAAACCTCCTTATTTTATTTATGATCCCGTAAAAGAAAATTTAAAATATGATAATCCACAGTAATTAAAAGCCTAATAACAATAAGGTGAAGTATTACATTTAATTATTAACATTCCTTGCAGATTGCTTCTGATATTATTTACCATATAGGTGTCAATTTGATGGGCATATATTTTAGGCTGATGAACGAAATCGTCACCCGACGATCTTTTCTAGACAGAAGAGCATGTGTTGAGAGCACACTCCGTTTGAAGTTTGTTAAAGATCAAGAAGTAAGTATTATATAAATATCGGTATGCTTGTTCACTATTTGGTCTTTATATACATAATCAAGCGTTATTGCTTCGTTCTATATGACATTATTTTAATGCATTAGCGAAATTTATATTACAATAATCATCAGCCCTAGAGCCTAGAATAGAATAAAAAATTGAATAGAAACCATATGGAAAGGCGAGGCCACAAGCCATAACCCACCGCGCAGGCCCAGTTTGGATTGGTGAGTCTTGTTGACTGCTGATGTAGCCGAGACCAACAGTTTAACGAGCTTTTTGAAGCACAAAGGGGCTGTACTTTTACCAACCTAATGATCAACCTTTTTGAAAATTACTTAACCTACAAAATCACAAATCGGACGCCCATTGTAACAATATATATCACTAGTATTATATACGTACTATTCTCGAATTCTTCGATCTGAAAGAGACTAACTGTATATAACTTAGCAACTCAAAATTTCCACCATTTATTGATATGTATTAGAACTTTGTCACTGTTTAAAATTAGCTATTGATTAAATTTTTATTTGGTCTATATTAACATAAAAAAACAACGACTTCTATTATGACACTGTAATTCTAGGAACGACTTATGTTAACCATACTGCCGGAACACATAGTATCAAAAGTGAAACATGATATCAGAGATCTTTTTCTGGGTCTAGGATCACGTATTAGTTACAATTTGAGGTCATTCAAGTAAGTACTATATGATTATTCATTTTTAAATGTGGTATTGAAATGAAATTTGAAACTGAACTTTCTTTTTATACGCAAATCACCGGCATAAGTGTGAACTCACATTCTATTAATCTCCTGATATTGTCGATTCAAACCGTACTACGAATCAACGCAAGCCTGAAACTTTTTGGTTTCAGAGATGTGCGACTTTGCGTCTTCAACTATGTATATCAAAGCCTAAGCCAGTAATAATAGATGAATAATTGTCTAGGACGGCCAGATCCATAGTATAAAATGTATCTAATGAAGATTCCTTTTTATTATCAATATTTTAATTTCATATTAGCATACCCTTCGTGAATATATCACACTAAAATCCAATTTTAACAGTCCATAATATTTCAGGATTTCATTATATGCTTGTGTGTTATCATCCTTACATTTCAGTCAATTTACAAAATATTAATGAATTAACATATAAAAATGCTCCCTCTAGAATTACTGTATTGGTGAAAATTTTTTGGAATTTTACTTTGTTCTTTACTTTTTGATACATACCGCATTCAGACCGTCTTATGGTGTGACATACAGTAGCATACTAAATGAGATTGTTGTGTGTCATACTAGTATTCGCTGAACATAAGTAAACTCAAAATTTCTAAAATAAGTTTTCCTAAACCAGATTAAAGGCTAATAAGATAACCGAGTAGAGTTAGAATAAGATTATAAAAAGTAGATATAAAAAATTCCCCTTATACAAATTCTCAATTCATTTTACGATATAAACTGATATTTCTATCAATGGTTATCTAAACAGTTTTATGGCTATCCGGATTATGAGTTGCTTATTACAAACTAAGAATTATTCATTTACATTTGATTACTAAAAACTTTAAGCCATGATGAATCGTTATAAAAAAATAGTCAGCACTATTATTATGACTTGTTATTGAAATATAAATTGTCCATTTTCCTAACATTTAGATGACGAATCTATGTATTATTAAGTATTATCAGTTATTTATAAAAATAATCATTATGATTAATCAAGTATTTTAATATCTATAGAATTTTTTTAGTTGCATATTTATATTTAACTATCGTAACTGCTGCCGCAGCTGTCCTTCTTTTGTTTTGTATTGATTGTTTTAAATTGTTATATGTTTGTTTGTTTAATTGAATTGTATACACAATCTGTTATTTTATATTTTTTATCCCATGCAAGGTTGCAAGTAATGCGGTTTTATTTTGTAAAATATTTATGTGCGTCCAGTCCATATCATTTTCTTGTTTTGCACTAAAGAGTATTTATTATTGTTAAAGAAATTAACCGATAACATTTCATTGTTACAATATGATATAACAAAGTTTGCCAATAAAAATCAGCACGAAAACTAACTCTGAGACTGGAATAAGATTATTTACAGAATAGCACCGCTTTAAAATCACGGCAGAAGTTATAAAATTATTGTTTAGTATTTTTGTTTAGTTTGTATTACTGTTTACAGCCAACTGTACATAGAAGAACATGATAATGTTAGCATTCTATACGCGGATGTTGTCAACTACACCATGGTATCCACCACATTGTCACCACTGAGGATGGTAGAACTTCTCAATGAACTCTTCGGAAGATTCGACGAAGCTTCTGAGGTGAGTCTAAATCAATTGTTATGTTGATTGATTTCAAAGGATATTTGACAATTTGAAAAATAAAAATATAGATGTATATAAAGCTATACATAGGTAAAAAAAAATCCTAATCATACACGAAAAGATCAAAAATTTATTAATTTTAAATTAAGGCGCCATTACGACCATGCATAAAAAAGGAACCGTCATTATTATAACGTCAATCCGTCCTTTATTTTATCGGTAAAATAACGATCGTGCATTTTAATGAGAATATTAAGAAATGCGTTTATATTCTATTTTAGGACTTAGATTATTTAATATGAAAAAATAACAACAGTGTTTTCTTTGTTAGCAAGAAACAAAAAGGAGCGGTTTCATTATGTTTCATAAACAAGAAAATGTCCTAAAATTAACATCTTTATTTGGCAGAATAATATTAAATTTGTTTATTTATTCTTATTTGTATGTAACTAAATATAAGGCTAATAAAATTTTTACTGTCATAAACTATATACATATAGAAAGGTATTTCATAATTCTTCAATTAAATAGACGATGTTTTGCTTTATTGGGCGCTTTCCACTTGTACTATCTGTTGATAAAAGTTAAAAGTTTTTACATACATTTTCAACCAAATCAATATTTTTTTTTCGTCAGACCATCTACGACATAAACTAGTCGAAAAAAATGTTTTTAAGGGACAAAACTAATACATTGAAATGACGACTCACGTTCTAGTTCTTTTGTAAAATATACGTAATCTGAAACTAATTAATAAAAAATACTAATTCAGGAACAATAAAGAATGAATATCCTTCATTTCATATAATATATTGATCACTGTAAATACTCATCTTAAAAGACCTATCAATCCTTTTTTGTTATTATATCATTGGGTGTACATATGTGATTTGTTGGAAAAATTATTACACGGAGACAATCTTATCTTAAAAGTAAGAAAGTAGATGCATCATACTATATTCACCACTTACTAAGTAATTTTATGCATTTCAATTTTATTAATACTTTATGATTCATAAAATTACCTTGAGCTACATTCAACAATTCACTACTATTAAAAGCATATAAACATAGTAATAAATTGACGTTTCTGATAACTAAAGCGGCAAGCCACATAAAAACATAATGAAATCCGTCGTACAAGTAAATTTATAGTAAAGGAAAATAACCGCATGTGGAATATAATCCCTAATGGGAAATATTGATATTTCTTCTTCAATATTTAATATAGGGGATTTTTTAAAGTTATCATATCCCGAAACTTCAACATTTTGTTATGTTTATTATTTATAGTCTTTTTTTATTTCTTTTTTTTTATATTATGTTATATTTATAATTTATATAGTGTTATAGTCTTTATTTTTTCCAATTTTTATCAAACAAAGTAGTTTTGGCTTTTAAATTTGCGGTATTTTCAATAACATAATTGTAACAAAAAATATATTTAATAATAACATATCGGATAAACTAAAATTGTTGCCATAAAAATTATATATGTAAATGACGTTTGAAAACATGCTTAGTTGTTAAATATTCTTATTTAGTGAATGAGATTTTAAATAAAAGATAATATTTGGAACACTTTAATTGAATGACGTTTAATATTTAAAAACTAACAGCCTTATTTATAAAAATCAACTAATCAACGTCTTAACATCTAATTAACTAACCACTATTTAACTTCTTGAGTGGTCATTACATATTTCTTACTTATAAATGCTACTTAAGAATTTGTTAAATACAACGGTAAATAACACTGTATTTTTTCATTTTGTAAACACTGGATGAAAATCCCACCAAAAGTCAAACGGCTACGTTATAAAATATGGAATTAAAAAAAGAAACGTCAGTGTAGTCAAAATCATAGCAAGAACGGTCCATAACACCTAGCGAAAATAGATAATCTTTTGCGCTAGCTATTATGGATGATGACTAATTTATGTTTGTTTGAGCGTCAGGTAAAATTTTAAAGAAAATTATACACGTATTTTTATGTAATCAATAAATAACGACGATATGTTGAGTTAAAATATCGCGTGACGTCACACCTTTGTACATTTTCTATTCAGTTGTCACGTAGCAAGCCTTTAATGCCTATTATCCATGTCATTTCTTGTTAAATTAAAGCAAAACTAATATATTAACTAACTGACTAAAAAGAATTTCTTTCTTCACTCAGTCATTATCCCTATAGTATTCAAATAATTTGAACTCAACTTGCTCTTTTTGCATTTTCATATGCTGAATAGAATATAAAATACTATTTGGATAGAACTTTAATTGGCATGAATTCAAATGTGTATGTATGGAATCTCGATAAAAGGTATAGTGTAATTGAATAGGATTGATTCGCCCGGTTTTTGAAATATATTGTACACCATGTCATATTTTGAAGTGCCAATTAAATACTGTTTTTTAGCTTACTCGACTGCGAAGGCAAGACTATACTAATTTATAAAGAGAAAATATTTGATTGTTCTTTTGCATCGAACAGGCTACGAAACTAATAGACTTTTAAAATTCTTACACCTGTTGGAATATTATACGCCGGATATAAGCTATAATATACGTAGGCAATATCGCGGGAAAACAATTAGTGTCAAAATTCACCTGAATTCCGAACTATTTATATTGATAATATTTTTCCCACGTCATATAATCTAATGATATAACATAAATTTTATATGATATTTTTTAGAATCATAAAAATTTATTTACTTGCATCTTTCGGAGTTACTAAATTTAAAAAAAATTCAATCAATTAAAGAATATAACTTTTCACGTAAATAGCTCGCTTACGTGAGCGCAATCATTATCAGCCTATATCCACTCTGCTGACACGGGCCTTTCCAATGGAAGGTATCGGATCGAATTGGGCGAATGTTTCCTAACACACCACATAGGCCCATTGCAGATTGGTGGAAGTTAACGACGACAGGTACAGCCGGGACTAATATATCTTCCAAAACTCAGAGGAGTACGAGGCAATATTTTTTTTTCACCCATCCTATAACCGGCCCGTGCAAAAGTTATTTAACTTCCATGTATAAGACACTCCGCTATTTGGCCTTACATTAACAATGATATATATATAAAATTTAAGGCGTGTATTAAATGTTTTTTTTTTCATAAGTTCATGTTTTTTAAGCGTGTATTTTTTGTGCTTTTTAAGGAATACGATGTACTACGAATTAAATTCTTGGGCGACTGCTATTACTGCGCTAGTGGTATCCCGAAGCCCACGTTACTACACGCCAAAAACTGCGTCGATCTTGGCTTAGAAATGATCAGCATCATAAAAGACGTAAGGTAAAACAGCAACAAAAAAACTCACCATTCGAATAACTTCACTGAAATCATTTTTCAATGCCAATATTAGTCAACTGTTTTTAGAAATCGCTTGATAATAATGACTATCTCAGGTAACAGACTCTTGTAACTAGAAAAAAGGATATTAATTTATTTACATCTTACAGTCACATTTATTTCATAGGTATAAATGAACCTTTTTAACATCAAGAGATGCTCGTTCTTATCCAGCGAACATCTGTAAATCGGGCAACTACTCTAATTTTTGTGTCTGGCTATTAAATACCTCGACAAAACTATGGAATTTTGCAAATAATTATTTTTTTCGCTACTAGTTAGCATATTTCCATAAATTGCCAGATAAGTATTTATACTTTTTAATTTGAATTTGACTTTTGTCACTTGTTATTGCTGTTGCAATCTATCTTGTGTACGTATTTTAAATACATTTTTTTCTGCCTAGAATTATTACATTTATTGGCTATACTTTTGCATTATCGTCATCTTATTATCACATTTTATAAGTATTAAATTAGAGTTTAATATATTTAATTACATATACTTATTTATTATACCTTCAAATCATCCATCATAATTTCAAGCCAATTATAATCGTTTTCGAACAATTATTCTATGTTATTATTATAAATTTGACATTTGAAAGATACTGAATGAACGATATTCTTAATTTAACTTTAATTGGAATACTTTAAGACAAGCGTTGGACGCAAACATCTTTGAAAACTATGAGACATATCAAACGAAGTGCTACCTGTATTCGTTCGTTTAAATTAGTTAAAAGTTACTTTATTCCATAAATCGCTTTTACAAACACTATATTATAGAATGGGATTGCAATAGACTTTAAAATTAGACAATTAGCCTATAAGTTACTTTTATCATATTTATATTTTATTTTAATCATATTTTAATTATATTAACAGGGAAAAACGTTCTCTTAATATCGATATGAGGATTGGTGTGCACTCAGGTCGAATATTGAGTGGATTAATAGGTATAAAGAAATGGCAGTTTGATATTTGGTCTAAGGACGTCACTATTGCTAACAAAATGGAATCAACTGGCCAAGCCGGGTAAGAAAAAAATAAGCAGACATAGTTTTAGATAATATAATCAGACACTTGAGTAAAACGTAGAATTTAAGTTCTCTTCAACTTGTTCTCCTCCCCAAGTCGTTTTTTTTGAAGGTGATCCACTCGGTGGAAAGATAGTTTTAGCAATGTGAAGAGCGTCATGACGTTTTTGCCAAGTTTTGCGAGAACCTAGTCAGACCATCTCGTTAGGCTACGACCCGTCAGCCGTTTCCCGTCCACCTTACTGGCAATTATCAGTTTCTGTGAGCAATATGACTAAATAAATCTAGAGTTCATCGTAAGCAGATATTGGAATCCTATCTTTGATTTTCATTATTTTGCACACCATTCAAAGTAGTGGAAATCAACGCATGTTTTAAGACCAAGCCAATATATAATGAAATAGTTTAGGTACAAAAGATATATACTTATTACAACAATCAGTATTTGAAGCCTAGGTTGGCTTAAAATAATCTTACAATTTATCATGCAGACACTCACAATCAGAACATGATTAACAATATCATTTTCAATCCTCTTGATCCCTTGTGAGGTTTGATCATATACTTGTTTATAATAGTAACTTGTATTTGTATTATGAACTGGTAACGACATACTTTTTCAATGCAGTTGCCCATAAAGCGCAATTTTTTTAATCAGTGTAAACACCGAAAGTGAGTCTTTAAACACGTTTTAAATAAAAATATACTGAAATCTTTCACTGCACACGTGCTTAAAAGTATATTTTAAATTTTTTTTGGCCGAGCACCAAAGAAATTTAAAAAATTTTTTATAAAAACATGTCAAACTTTAGAGGCTTAGGTATTTCAAGGAGCATAGAACGTATATTTTCAAATAAAAATGTATGACACGAAAACATGTTCAAATATCACGTTTAATTTTTACCTTTAATACATATTTAGTTTTATTGACCTATATATTTGTTTTGTTTCGTCGCAAAAAGCATTGAAAAATGTTGTAAGAAACTTGAGCGTAAAAGGTTTTTCGAATTCGTGCCAATGAAAACCCTCGCTACGCTCGTGTTTTCAATTTGGCCCTTATTCGTAAAACCTTACTTTCCGCACTAGTATCTTAAATAAATATTTAAGAACTTCATTAGAGCTGTTGAGTTTCTTGCTCGTAATTTTTATCAATCAATAGTCCAGTCTCAGGGACAAATTTTGGATAACTCAAAAGTATATTTGAATGAACATATATTTGACTTTGGCTTGAAATGACTTATTACTGAACGCTAAAATGATGGAAATTAAGAATTATTTTCTGTTTATAGCGTTTCTATATTTTAATGTTTGTCTATTTCTCATGCTTAAGAATGGCGTGAATACAACTCAATTGAATTTTGGTCACCCATTTTATGGCCGACCTTTGCGAAAGTTGCTTAACTTCCGTATCGCAGATCGTATTGCGAAATCAATGAAAAAGCGTATACAAAAAAAAAACAAATGTAACAGGTTTCATTCTGAATTGTACTACCCAGTAACTTATTTCGTACATTGAGAACGATAGTGACACATTGCAAAAAATGCGATTTTGAGTAATGAGCGTTTAAAGTTCAAGAAATTGTTATCCGCTCCTCTAAACAACGTATCGTCACTACGCCACCTAGCAGTTTCTATGCAAGCTACGTTCACAGTGATCTTTGCATTTTAAAGTTTATACTTAGCAAAGAAAAATGTTGCCTAAAGGAAAAAATACGTCGTTTTTGGTTAGTGACATTGTCATTCTCGACGTGCGATTTATATACCTCGCAAAGAATTCAGCATGAAGATAGTATCACCTATCCTATTAAATATAGATGTAAAAGTTTCTTTACTTGGATGTTTGGATGTTGTCCGTCAATCACGTCGAAACCACTGAACGGATTTTGATGAAATTTGGTATACAGATAGGGTATTAGCTGACTTTGATAATAGGATAATTTTTATCTCACTAAAAATTTCCCTAGCGAACACGCGGGCGAAGCCGCTGGCGAAAGCTAGTATAGTATAAACGTTGCATTGCAATGAATTTCAAAGAACGGACAACGATCAATTAGCTTTTTCCACCTACCTATAATTCCGGACATTTGATCCGATTTCCACTGGTTATTATTACGGGCTGACTAATGTAGCATCCTTAAATCCAGCAAAAAGCTAGATAGAACAATGACTCTAAAATCCACGTCATCAAATAATAGTTTTTTTCTCATTGTTTTTTTTTTCCAGAAAAGTGCACATAACGAAACAAACCTTAGAACTTATATTCGATGTTGGCAGAGAATACATAATTGAGCCAAACTTTGCGAGTCAAAACGATCCTTTTATCATGAAAAACAAACTGGAGACTTATCTTATTTCAAGACTTTATAGGGTGAGTTTATCTTTCTTATCTTAGATTATATAATATCCTTCTAATATATAAAAATGATACTTTTACCATGAATTTTCCATGGTAACGTGTAGCTTTTCTTAGTATAGTTTTGATTTCTTATTATGGTCTCAATTCTTCTTGTTTATTTTTTATATATAATGACGAATAATTTGGTAGGTACTCTTTTTAATTGCTCTATATTTGCATAAATATTTTTTACAGGGCATTGAATATAGACGACCGTCGTTTCGAAAACCATCTGTAGGCTTCAACAAAATCGTGTCGTCCAAAAGAGTAAGTAAAAGTGCTTTCGCTTTGTATGCAACCAAAAAAATGCCCTGAGAATTTGTCGTCCTGAATGTGTGTCTTCGTTCGGTTTATATATATATATATAGAATACCCAGACCGAGACAATATAGAAAAGTTCATTTTCTACATTGACCCGACCTGATTTATCACTTATGATGAAAAATTGTAAAAAAATCTTAATTAATATATTCTAAGTAAGATCTTTTGAAGTACTTTTTACTTGACCAATATTTCATACCAATTTATTCAAGGCAACATTTAGCGGAAGAAAGTAAGAAATTTATCACCTTTTAAAGTTTACTAAAATAAAATCCAATGTAGAACATACAAGAAAAAACATCGTTTTTAATGTTAATTAGTTAGTCTCAATTGACTGTTACGACTTGCTTGAGATAAAAAAAAAGATAAACCACAAATTCACCCTTTCTTTCTTAAATATGTTGGCAATCTGGTTTGAGTGCCGCAGATACAAACATCTGTTATGTATCTTCTCCTATTAAAGTCTAATATTCTCCGTTAATTTAAACAAACTCAGTAGAAGAGAACGCATTTAGTTTTACAAACGCTTGGTTGCTTTTGCTTCTTACAATATAACATTATTTTTTATACTTTCTTATATCTCTAGTAGCGTTTTGAAAATAGAAACTCAGCGACTACTGTCAGAAGAACTACAACGTTTATGGATGAAAATTTGGTCGAGTATCAACTTATGTTGAAAGCTGCTAACGCACAAATGGCGAAAGAGATTGAAGACATGACTAACGGAAAGTAAGCTGTCCTAATATTTAAGCTTAGGATCCTATAAATCACCTCAGATCATGGCATAAAATCTAGTTCGAATCTAACAAAATGAGCGGTCAGTGACCCGTGTAGATAGATACTCGTACCTACGAGTACATACCTACGGCGGGCGTCGAGCACGCGCTCAGCTGACGCACGGCGCGCGATGTCCCTAAATTTAGTTTTAAAATCTCGATCTTTGTTCTTTATAAGCGATAACTTTATTTTTTAGTATTAGAACATATCAAAATAAAAATTACGTGTTTGTTTAAATTACTTAAAGTTTATTTTCACAAAATCTTCGCAGTGGTTTTAAATTATTTCTGTATATTGGAATTACATAAGTTATGTGTAAAAAAATTATATAAATGTATAATTAAGTTAACGTGGTATTGACTTTGACATAGACACTAATGTGTCTTATGACCTACAGATGTCAGCTAATGCAAATGAACTGTATTTTCATAACATACATTCTTTGTACGAGTATTACAATAATAATATATCAACTGCAAACAAAACAATATTTTCAATATGACAGACAGCTTTATAATTGAAAATATTGTTTGCACATGCTGAAATTTTATTAATTTAATTTTATAAAATAAAATTAAAAAACAACTATTTTTTCAGGGATCAGTTTCAGAAGGTGAAAAGTTTAAATCGTTTCACTTTGATGTATAAAAATATGAAAACAGAGAAAGCGTTCTTATTATTACCAGATCCACTATTCAAATACTATATGGCCTGTTGTTTGATCATATCCTGTCTTATATTTCTTATAAATGGATTAACTACTAACTGGTGAGTTAAAAACTGTCACCTCCTTCTTAACTTAAAGTTTTCTAATTCTTATTATGAAATATCTACAAGGAAAGTCATATTTATAGTCGTTTATTTTAAACCAACTTCAAAAATTAAGAATAGGTTTTTTATTTGACTGTTTTCTTTTATCCATATTGCACTTTTTTTGTTTGGAAGAATATATCCTTAAAATAATGCCATTAAAACTTTGAGGCTTGTGTCCTAAAAGTGAAAATGCAGGTTTCTGTTATATGTTCGGAATATGTGAACTATTTTAACTTATATATATTCAACAAAATAATTTTTGTCACATTAATTTGCAAAATATAACGCTTCGAAAACTTGAATAAAGTAGGAAAAATATACTACAAAAATTTATTAAAATACATATGGCATTAAATTAGTTCCATATGAAGTAACATTTCATTATAAACATAAACGCACAAATAACAAAGATATTACAAAGATTGCCCAGACACCCATACGTTTTCCGCTACCGTAGCAGCGTATGACGTCACTTAGTGCCTTGATTTTGTATGGAGCTTTTCCGCCCAACTAGCAGCAGTTGCGCATACACAGCACCATATCACCAAAACCATTAATCACAGATATGCTGTTACTTCTAAATTATTTCTCAGATATTAATGGAATATTTATTTATAAAATAAAATAAAAGTTGTCAACTAACCTATTTTGTTTTAATATAAAAAAAACTGAGAGAACTGCATTACATTTGATTGTTGTCATATAGAAACTCTTAAATAAAAAAAGAAATAAAAATAAAAATTCTTAAAATCTTAAAATAATTCTTAAGAAGTAACAAACATCCAAACCTACAAAGTTTCGCCTTTATAATATTAGTAGGACGAGTAATTAGTAGTCCACTATATTAATCTTAAAATACACGAAAATAAAACTGTCTCAGGTAAGCGGATTTTTTCCAACTATTTTTAAGATATTTTATTCAATCAATTTCGCAGTCACAATACTACACTGAAAAATATTCTTAATGAAAAATACTTAAAAATCCACATATCTCAGGGTGCTAGGGACCAATACATTTTTAAGCACTTTTCATTGAGAATATTTTTAAGATAATTACATGTTGAAATAGCATTGTTGGCTATTTTCTCTAAATTTACAATAATAGTAATTCAAATTAATTTTCATAAAATCATATCTTAAAGTATGCGTTGTTTTAGGTTCTATGGCTTTCGATGGTACACTTGGACTGTGTTCATATTCCTGTTCTTCGCTATGATTATTCTGCAACCGATAACATGGTTCCACTTTTTATGGACAAAATACATTGGCGTCGAAGAGCCCAGGAATAAGATTCTACGTTCAATATACGATAACTCTGCAAATATCATTAAATCCGTTAAAATAAGGACTGCAATTTATTTGATCGTTAGTTTGGGATTAGCTGCGATATCCATAGTCAATGTTATCGGCTGCACTGAAGTAAAAATCGAAGATCCACCCGATTCTGAAACAGTCCTTTCAAATTGTGTATCTTCGTGGGTAATGTAGTTTTCTTTATCGTACAAACTTTCTTATTGTAGTTAAAACTTGATTTTCAATTTGTTTTCCTTTATTTTTCCCTTTCAGCACGTAACGCAATGCTGGGGACTTGCATTGTTACTAAATTTCCTGTTCAGTAGAGTGTTTTTCATCTTCAAATGGATCGTTGCCGGTGGCATGACTTGCTTTTACTTATACGTCGTCTGGGATCTCAAATCTACTCTTTTCGCTATCGATGCTACTTGGAACGTCGGCTTAGATCCTCGTATATCACATACTTTATCAGTTATTATAATAACAGTATCCTTGTACTGGATTGATCGGACCACAGAATACAGGAACAGGTTGGATAATCTGTGGCAAATACAGTTAAACGAAGAACAGCAAGAAGCTGAAACTATGTTAAAAGTGAACAATATGCTTTTGGAGAATATTCTTCCAGCACACGTTGGTAATTATACCTATTTTGTTTTATTCCATCGTTTTCTATTCGTTTTGACGCCAACGGCATATTCTGTAATTATTGAAATTTATTGTTTAATCAAACTCATTTCTACATATGTAGTTTCATTTATATATCACTTTTATGTATTTTAAAACTTAATCCAAAAAATAAGATTCAATATGATATAATAGGTGATGCTAAAATTAATTTGTCCCAATTTGAATTAATTGTGTTCTTCTTGATAAATTTAGTGCAGGTATATTTGAATCTACACCGTTCTATTGACGAGCTGTACTACGAGAACTATGATAATGTAGCTGTAATGTTTGCGTCTTTAACTGACTACAAGCTCGGGATGGAAACCGACGCCGACATGAGTGATAAATTTGTGCTGAGCATTCTAGACGAAGTTATATCAGATTTTGATAGGGTGAGTTATGTTATCAATAAATATATCATAAATCTACGATATACAGCAACTTCGTAAATAAATATACAATCACAAGCGGGATAAATAGGTAACGCAATCACTACTAACTTATAGTATTTTTGCTCCACTACAATATATTTTGCATGAAGAATTTTTCCCATTGCTGTTTTTGCATTTTTATGATAATATTATTTGATATAATATGATAATATGTTTTCTTATTGAGCTTTAAGCTAACCATTTCATTACTTGTCTATGAAGTTTCATAAATAAAAATATTGAGCATCCTATTTGTGCTGGTACTGTAACAAGCTGTTCTCAAATGAAAATACCTACATATAATTATGTATATCAATGACTATATATAAAATGTTACCTGTCTGTTAGCAAAAGGAAGCTAAATATAGTACGAATGAATATCATAAACGGCACTCTATATATTAAGGCCATTGCATATAAGTATATATGCAAATGCCTTAATTTGAGCTATTTTTAATTTACAATATTCTATTCACAATTTGAAGAGTCAAATTCTAATTTACAGTTGCTTATTACTGGTTCTTCAATCCACAAAGTGGAAAAAATTAAAGTCGCTGGTTGGACATATATGGCAGCTTGTGGCTTAGACCCCAACAGAAGAGATTCTATTGATTCCTCGTCGAACACATCTACTATTAGAGGGAATAGTCCATATGATAAGGCAGTAGTGCTCACAATGGTCGAATTTGCTGCAGCGATGATGATGCAACTGCGAAATTTCAATAGAGGTTCTTTTCAAAGCTTCGAAGGACTGAATTTAAGAATTGGTAAAGACATTTATACTTAAATTTATACTGTTTGGGTGACTTGCCTACATTGATGAAAATACGCTCTGTAATAGCAAAAAAGTAGCAAGTGCTTGAAAAATTCATCAGTCGTGTCCCATTTCAAGGTGCCAGGGACTATGGATTTTCCGAGCATTTTTTTATTTATACTGGTATCAAAATATAATGTACTTCATTAAACATTAAGGTAGTAATTGCCTGTCTCTGGAATGCATGACGCGTGCAAACGATAGATTGTTTCAAAAATCTAGCCTAGAAGCAATTTCTGTCATTATGAACTTTTACATTACGTATGTATAATATATAAATTATAGTATATTGTACGAAGTTTAATATGTACGAAGTATATGTGCATTAGTAATAATTATGTAATGTTCACTTAAGACACCATAGACTACCAAATTTAGATTTCAATTAAATTTATTCAGACTCTAACGAATCGTGTGCCTAGACGAAATTGCTTCTTTGCAATAAGGTCTCCGATTATACTATCTGTTCTTTGTGTTATTGTCTTCCTATTATTGTTATTAATATACAACAAAAATTATTCATTCATTAATAATTACCGCCATCGCCGAGTGGTTCAAGGTGCCTTTATCACTGTCCCGGGTAAGATTCCTAGTCGGGTCAATGTTGAAAATTATTTTTTCTATATTGCCTTAGATCGGGGTGTTGTAGTATATAGCTGTTGTTTAAGATTTTTTAATTATAAACTTTGTACCTACCCTGAATGGTATTAGATTTACATTTTCGTAAAAAATATATGCACGTGAGAGAAAAAATTCGCGTTAGCAAAATAACGTTAGGTATCTGAAAAACTTCCAATAAACCGTAAACATTTGCAGGAATTTCCAACGGAAAGGTCGCGGCGGGTGTTGTTGGGTCCCTTAAACCGCTATATGATATATGGGGTCATGCGGTAAATATGGCTTCTAGGATGGACTCCACAGGAGAAACGGGGAAAATACAAGTAATCTGACTTTATTTCATTCAATACTTTATCATAACTTTTCATTCTACCAGTATTAATCCATACTATTGAAGTATACTTATATTATAAAGAGGTAATGTGACGGAAAGTGGACTTATATTCTATTGAAATATTTTTTAAATATAGACATCTCTGTATGAAATAAAACGGGAACAAAAAAGCAGCCCTTGCTGAGTTTCTTGCCGGTTCTTCTCGGTATAGAGTTTTCGTCTTTCAATAAATTATTTTTATTTGACTTGTAAGGTTTCTTACTTTGTTTGTAAGGAGTAATCTTCAAAAATACTGACCCGATCATGAAAATTCTTTTACCTACCTACAAGAAGCTATATTATATGCAAACAAGGTAGCAGGTAAACGAATAGTATACTATAAATCGCCGTATATACAATGTAGGTGTCGCTGTAATTTATTGATTACACTAGAAATAAAAAATACGAGTTTAATATTCTTTAATAATTTTCCTGACACACAAAGATTATTTGTTCTTTATTGTTGTGGCAATAGAACAGTAATTATAATTAGTTATTTTCGTTTGTCTACGCCAGCAAAATCTTACACAAAATTATTCCATTCTATATACTATAATATTATACATGAGAAAGTGGGATTGTTTATTATTCTATTACAATGAAACGGAATGTAATAGAAAAACAAACAGAAATTATGACATGGTTTTTGCGTGGTGTGGAGATAGCTGAAAGTTTGAGAGAGATAAGCTATTTATCACAAAAACAGTGTTAGCGCTTTTTGTCTATAATTTAAAAAACAAGTTTAATTATTTCTAGGTTACAGAAAACACGGCACTAATTTTAGAGGAATGTGGTGTTTTAACAGCATGTCGTGGTGAAACTTTCGTAAAAGGAGCTGGTTATGTGAAAACGTACTTCGTGCCTCTCGACGACCATTTCAACTTAATAAAAACAGAAGACAGCATACTTTATTACAGAAAAGAAAATAGAAACCGTTACAATAATTTAATAAACGGATTTGATGATGTATCAGATGCAACATCTGTTTATAGTTTCAATTCCTTATATGGAATGTCAGCGGCAAATGATATCACTAGTATTCAGGCTGACAATTATTTTGCTAGTAGATCGTATGAACCAAATGACGGTGACAGTATCACGTCATCAGAACTCGATTACACAACCACTGATAATGCTTATAACAATGATATGACTAGAAACCAGACGTTTGAACCAGCTGATTCTACTAGCAACTCAGAAGATGTTGAAGACACTCGTTGTTAAAAAATGAATGGCGTATAATAAATCATATTGTATAAGTCATAAGTTCTCATTACTTGGCGGCTGTCCTCTGACATTCCTTCAAAATATTATCGATTACAAATAAGAACGTGAAGATATTATAGCAAATCAAGATGTCTCCCATCAAACGATGCTGACGTGATGTTCTCTGTTAGAGTAATAATAGGGAGTATTTAAAACATAATGTACGAGTTTAGGTTTAGAGACTTAGTATATACTATCTAATTATTTTTTCTAGTCGTTAAGTTTTAAGGTATTTAAATATATGTGAAGAATTAATAATTTTTTTTTTTTACTTTCGAATTGAAATTAATTCAATGTTTTCAGCAATGTGAGATAATTTTTTATTCTTTTTTAATGAGTGATGTAATGTAATACTAGAGAACAAATAATAATTTAAGCTGCTAGATAAATATGAGAACTGCAAATTTTTTTACAATATTTTTCAAATTATTAAAAATAAGATTAAAAATTAGTACCTATTTTGCTTTTTACTTTATTAAAAATTTTTGATTTATTGAATATATATTTTGGTCGAACTAGATTCAATAAAAACGCATTTAACATTCATTCATAATGAATGTTGGGTGTATTTTAATCGAATCCGATGCTAACCAATTAAAAGTCATTTTAGTTTCGTGGCAAGTCTGCGGGTAAGTACTGGTATATAAAGAATGGTTCGCAGAACTCTTTCGCCCTATCAAGGACTTATACAGGGTTCTTTGTAAAAAAATTAGAAGTGTTTTAAAACTGCCTGCGCCGTCTATTGATCACCAAAACAACTAACTAAAATTATTCACAAAAAATATCAACATCGTAGTTTATTATTTTTTTATTATAGTTAATATATAAACACCCGCATTCTCGATTTATTCTATGCACTATTCACATTACACTACTTCATAGCTACAACAACTCATTAAGAAATTCAAAACCTCTTTTTTATAATTTTAAATCATAATTCATTAATGGTTAAGTCAAAAATGTATTGCATAAATTAGACCTGTTTAAGTAACTTGATAAGCTATTGCATGTACAAAATAAATTCGTAATTTTATATCATTTTAAAATGTAACTCTAACTGGAGACTTATCTCGGAAGCACATTGCTACCTTATATGCAGTTTCGTAAGGATCTCTACCTTTCTCCTCGTTGCATTTTTCCATCGCTTTTGTTATTTTGTCTACGTTCATATCTCTAGGGAACAGTTCCATTACTTTATCAATATTAATAAAACCGTTTTTGTCGATGTACCCGGTCCTCATGAATGCGCAATGAATAAATTTCTGGATTCTCCTATCGTCGCCTATTGGTTTCCCCTCTTTGTACAGGAAGATAATTTCAGGAGTAACGCCTGTTTCGCCAACACACTGCATAGCGACTGGAAGTATTTGAGCTACACGTTCTGGAGGCAGTTGTACTATTTTCTGTAACATTATATAATTATTTCTGTTAATACTTCACTAACATAAACTTCGCACTGCGATACGGTTATTTAACAATTTTGCAAGAGTCAATCATAGGATGGGTGACCAACAATTTACTCTCTCGATCTCAGATAAGTTAAACCGTTGGTACCGGCTGTGCTTGCAATCGTTAACACCCACCAATAAGTTCTGGGCCCAAGTGGTGGGTCATGACCAATTCTCCCTATTCTATTTGATTCGTTTCCATCACAGTTAAGGCCTCAGCCTCAGCAGTAGAAACATTGATAAGCAGATGGTGATGATAATGATGATGAATTATAAAGCTCTACGACAAATTCCATAAGTATTAAATTGTAAAAAAATATTACATTATTGAACCACATACATATTGAACCTTGAATTTTAAATAGTTCCTTTAAAATTGGAGCCACTTTGTGAGCGTTTGAAGAACTTTGTCTAGTTACTTATTAAAAAATAGCTTCATACCAATAACTAAAAGTTCATAAAGAAATATGTTTAACATTTTTTTATGATATATACCTTACCTATCTACATATTACAGAGAGGTAAAGTTTCTAACTTTGTTTATTTGTAGGGAGTTATCTTCGGAATTATTGATCTGATTATGACTGGCATAGGCTATAATTTACGCGGACGAAATCGCGGGAAAATAGCTCTAATAAATCGAGAGTATAAAAATTCTAAAATTACACAAACAGATTAATGTTCGATTTTTTTAAAATACAATAAGAGAAATATTATAGACTCAATAGAGATTAAACACAACGCTTTTATCATTTATACTTAGAATCTTTGTGTTTTCATTAAAATAATTCTATAAATGAATTAATAATTAATTTGGTAGGTACCTATAGTATTTTTGACAAATACAATATTTTAATTTGTATAGCAATAATATTTGAATTATATTACGAGTATAATTCAAATATTATTGCTATACAAATTCGAAATATTAATAAATTACCTTTTCAGTGCATGCTACACATCCGATGCACACAATAACAATGAAAACACTGCACTTCATTTTTAAATAATTTTATTAAAATTTAAATATATTCTGAACTTTATAATACAATGATATCTGTAAGAATGACTGTGGCTCTCAAGTTAGTCTTATTTATACTGCCATCTTGGAATATATAACGTCATTCGTGTATAATTTTATCTAACCGCGTATAGTTCAAGTTCAATATAATATGTCTACCTATGAACCTTTTAACGTACGTGACTATGACAAAATATTTATAATATAATACGTTATATTAAACTTTAGACTCATTTTTATGGAAATTGCGTAGGTAAAGGAGTATGAAATTTAGCAAAGTTAAAGTTCAGTAGAATTAACATAAAAAATTACACGTCGTGAAGTAGAAATGAATATGTAATTAAAAATTATAAAACTGCATTATATTTTGAAGGTATTTGAGTAAAAATATTGAAGTTTAAACTTATCTTTAGAAGAAAATTAGAAACTTACCTCTAAAATTCAACAATTCAATCTCTTTACTATAATTATACTCTTTTCTTACTGAAAAAAAAACATAAGAATCACTTTGTGAACGAACGATTGGGATAGATATTTTTTTAATATCGATGAAATAATTAAAATATAATAGATTGTGCCTCCATTTCACGCTGTCCGCTATGCTCTGTCCCTATTTGTGTCATTATCTTTTTTTTTTATCGTATAGGAATACTTTATACATTGTCCCTGCCTCTTGACCAACGGGACTAAACCACCTCTGTGAATCCTCCCTTTTTGGGTAGAAAACCAGAAATCCAGGGAGTGCTCCACACCCAACCTTCGATCTATGTTATAGACTGGCCTGTTGATTTTGTTGATTCATTGCTTGAGGTAATTTGGAGAAAATGGTAGAAAAAGTACAGAATAAAGAACTGTCAATAACATTCTAATTATTAATTAAAAATTGATTAATAATTCTACTTTTATTAATACAAGTCTTGCTGTGGATATTTTCTTGAAATGGTGGCTGGCGAATACGGAACCAACCAGTTGAGTTTAGAACGTTAAGGAGGATGTAGAACAGAGGAGCTCTATATAATAATTTTTGGTCACCCATCCCGTGTAGCAAAAACGATCGCATACCACGGCCCTTATCCACTACGCCAGCAAATTAAAGTTTAAACATAATATATAGTTATTTTAGAACCTATGTCATACTTGAAACATATGTACCTAATAATAAACCACAACGTGCTCCACATTCGACAAGTCAAGGTAATCCCGTACGTTTAAGGAAGGCTTCTCATCCTTACGGCCTTGCTTCTAATTATTTCAATTTTCCTGTTTAAACATTATTTCCAAACATCCAAGTGGGTCTCCGCTGTTTTCAAGTTGCCATCTTTGAAATACAAAATGTCAAATTCTCACAAATCAAATCAAACCAAAATCATTTATTCTGCTGTTACAAGCACTTGTGAAAGTGTATGCCATCGGGTTATAAATTTACGGCGGGACACCTTGATCTAAGAAAAACCGGTAAAAAACTTAGCAAGGGCCGCTTTTTTCTCCCTGTTTTATTTCATACAGAGATGTCATATAAACAGTTTTAAATACTCGACTCGATAAAGCTAAAAATGTTTTGATTGCTGTTATCTGTGCTTTGTTTGTTTCAGATCTTATTAACAAAATGCTTTCAGCTACTTGTATAATCTAATAATATAGTGATATTGTCTAAAATTTTTAAGCAACTTAAGAAAATGGAAGAAGAGGCTACATCTTCCAGGTGTATGAATCACACTTCAAAAAACAACATTTATCTTTAACGGCTTTAAAGCGGTTCATATATTGAAGACACTTCTACTGAAAGCAGGCTGTTAATACCAATATAAAACCACCGCTTCAACTTCAATAGTTTTCGGCCCGGACTTCAAAAGAAGTTTAATGAATACTTCTTAAAAAATTAACAGTGTTATTACAAAAAAGATAAACACGCGTTGAACACGTGTTTATCTTTTTTGTAATAACACTGTTAATGTTTTTTTACATTTCGGCTCCGACTTCAAAAGAGGTTTAATGAAGATTTCTTAAAAAATTTAATGTTTTGTATATAATTTATTTTGCAATAAAATATTTTGTCGGCATCGTACTAGAATTACTATGCTAGCCAGCTGAATGAGTTACTTAACTCATAGTCAGTTTTGAATTTATAGCATACAAACAGACATGCGTGGTGTAAAGACTTTATTCTATTGTATAGGAAGTGGCTCTTACCTTGGGATTTAGTTAATGTATGCGATGTCATGACTTTTCATGACAACGTTACACGGTATATCATGAAATTGACATCATAATAAATATTAATAAACGAATAATTAAGTAAGTTTCTTCTTCATCTTAATCTAAAAATACACCAAGTTCCACAAACGTCCAGTTTAATTACGACTATAAGCTGTAATGAATACCTATCCTAAATTTGAAAATGTGTATTACTAATGCCGTTTTAAACTAATGTCAACTTTAATCGACGTTAGTGCAACTGAGCTCATCTGGCAAACAGTCCCAGGAGCCTGATACGGGCGTCGATCCTATGACTTTTGATTTTTTAAAGCTTTTTTTTAGAGACATCAATGCAGTAGTATAGCAATTATAATATCAGTGGCTTTCTCCCTAAAATTTTTACTGCAATGGCACTGCAGCCACTGTATGAATTTTTTATAGCGTCGAAAAGCCAAATCATCTGGCTCGCATTCATCGACGGTCAATATTTGTACGTTCTTCAAAACCAATTTATTCTTTTAAATCCGTACATTCAGAGGGTACACTGACAAGATAATTTATTTAGGAACTCTATGAATTTGTAAAATGTTGTGATAACAAATACCAGTGAATTGGAATATTACAGTTTATTATTTTTTAGCTTATTTGTGACTTAAAAGAGCAGTTTGTGGGATTCTGCATCCACACAACACCACCCACAATAGTGAACAAAGAAATAAAGTTAAAAGACTGTTATTTATGTGAAAGAGTATAACGTCATCAGCATATCTCTATGTCTACGAGGGTCAAACTGAAAGTTCTTAGAACTGGCCACTTATAAACAATATAATAAAAAAATAATTCTAAAATTTGAAAATATAACTCTTTGCCAATATTACTGAGTAT